GGGGTGATCGGGGGGCGGGATCTGTAGCCCGTGGGGTGGGGAGGGATCGGTGGGGGGGTGTGAGAGGTGGGGGAGGGGAGGGATCGGTGGGGGGAGTGGTGGGATCGGTGGCCCTTGGCATGGGGGAGAGGCACGGGGAGGGGATTGGTGACTTTCGGCCTGTGGGGGAGGGAATCCGTGAGCTAGAGAGGGGAGGGGAGGGGAGGTTATAGATTCATAGATTGTAGGACTGGAAGGGACCTCGAGAGGTCATCGAGTCCAGTCCCCTGCACTCATTGCGGACCCTGGATGTGGAGCAGGTACCATGTGTGAGCGGGGAGGGATGAGAGCAGGATTGCAGCATCCAGCCCGAAACCTGGGTGGAAGGAACAGGGCTGTGACCTTTGGCACCGGATATATGTCCTCTACAATCCAGGTTTGACCCTGCTGCTCTAGGGGAGAGGCTGGTGCAGACCCTGGTCATCAGAGGGACCTATGGAGCTTAGTGCATGAGCCTCTCCTGCAGGAGCTAAAAGCCAACTGGCTGTTAGCTAAGGCTGTAGAGCAAACTCATTCATCTCTCTAAGTGGTCTCAGTGCCACTTGATGGGACACAGCACCACACTGTGTGTGAGTTACACTGGCATGGTTTGAAAGCTTGATGTGCTCATGGCAGAGGCCTCTGTCATGTGCAGGATGAACTCCACTGAGTCCAGAATCTGCACAGTTAGCATCTCGCTGTTGACTCAGGCTGTACCAGGCAGCCAGTATTGACACGCATATGAGCCAAACGAGCTTGATTTACCAATGTATTGCTGTCAAGTATCAGAGGGGTAGCTGTGTTAGTCTGGATCTGTAAAAAGCAACAAAGAGTCCTGTGGCACCTTATAGACTAACAGACGTATTAGAGCATAAGCTTTCGTGGGTGAATACACACTTCGTCAGACGCATGTATGTATTGCTGGTAATACCAAAGCAAGTGCACCAAACTAATGTGTTTATTTCCACCAAAGGGTTAACGGTAAAACTTCGGGCCTGATTCTCCTGTCACTTGCACTGGTGTAAATCACTGGTGTAAGCAAGAGAAGAATTAGCCCCCTGTTTGTGGTCAACAAAGGCAAGTGGCTATTGCTGTTTAAGGATATCTCGATTCACCACTTTACATTCTGATAACCTGATTTTTCTGGCTCCTTGTGTACATGGCCCCCTAAGTTGCCATGTATTATTATTACTGCTACTCGTTGTTGGTATTGTAATGGCACCTTTGAGGCCCCGCTCAGGATCTGGACTCCATTGTGATAGGCGCTATTTGTCAGAAGAACCTGGTTTTATAATTAAATACAAATATTTTTTCCTTGTGTTCTTTCTGCTCACAGAGAGTCTGATTCTGCAACTCTTACTTGGGTTGACTAATGTGCACAAGTAGATTCATTGATTTCAGTGGGACTGTTCTCACAAGTACTATTCAATATGAGAAAAGCTCCCAGTATCCAGCCCAAAAGTGTAATTGGCTGGTAGTCTGGATCATCCTATGTATGTCCAGGAAAATATAGGTTTTAACAATGAATTACTGCCATTTCTGCTGAACAGCATGCTGGTCTTTTGAAGGTGATGTTCATAATTGTTTAAAAATAGGCTTGAAAGAAGGGGTAACTATGCTGGTAGTTAGGGTGATCACTATAGCCTTTAATCCTAGGTAAAGGATTCCTGTATGATTATTGTTTTTTGCAGTATGGTTTGTAATGACACTTGTATTTTTTGCATATACTCAATGAGGTGTGTGTCTATAGATAATTATAGAAAATAGTTATTTGGGTTTATCTCTACATCAGCAAATCTGTCATGCTGGTGAACATTGTATCACATGAAACAGTTGCTATTAGAGGACTGGCTAAAATGGGTCAGGGGAACCCAGGTAGCCAGGACTCTTGGGTTCTAATTCTGACTTTGCCCACTGATTTGACATATGACCTTGGACATGCATTAACCTATCTGTTCCTCAGTTTCCCTATTTGTAAAATGGGAAGGATATTTACCTGCCTCACAAGGTGTTGTGAGATTAAATTGTTGGTAAGGGACTCTCAACTCCTTGGCTGAACGGTACTATAAAAGTAAAAAAAAAAAAAAAATTGCTGTGCAAAATATTCAGTCATACTTTAAACACATTGCTAATGAGTTGACTGATGTAAATAATTGCATGGGGCAACATCCTATAATCCTCACTCACATGAGTAGTCTGACTGAACTATTTTCATGTCTAAGGACTACATTCATAAGCATTTCATGGTCAGGCCCCAAACTTCAAATGAAATCTAATTGGTTAAATATCAACCATATTCTGTTCAGTGTTTCTTACAGTAATTCATGTCATGTGGTGGTATGGTATGGTCTTGTCATGAAAACTTATCAGCCCAGGCACAAAATCTGCTCACCCTGCTCTTTTACCAGAAAGGTAATAATGAAAAACATAATGTCACTTGCCAGAAGCAAGCAGAATTCAGCAAGGCTAGTATAGTACACAGATAAAAATTCCATTAGATGTTTAATAAAATATGAGAATACATAGTCATTGGAATTAAAGGTTTCAGAGTAGCAGCCGTGTTAGTCTGTATCCGCAAAAAGAAGAACAGGAGGACTTGTGGCACCTTAGAGACTAACAAATTTATTAGAGCATAAGCTTTCGTGGA